TTGGGTGCAGAAGATAAAGCAACATTTAGTCTACATGACCTGAAAGTTTCGCCTTTGGCTCATCATCAGGTGATTTTCTCGGAAAATTCTCATTTACCCGATTAATACACAATTTTTCCCAACCTGATTAAAAAAATCGTTGCTCCCAAAGACAACAAAATTGAAAGTTATTAAGAAACCTAAACCAAATTCTAGCCTCAATACTGAACAGGTTTGGGATTTTCGATCATCACAAAAATTCACATCATCAGTGTGTTTTGCAAAAAAGATTAAAAATTGCATCCGGAAATTTTAAGCGGAGTTTGATGCAAAACCCCAACAGCCACAAATGTCAAATTACTGGCAATCGTTAGGCCAAAGTTCATTCTGCTGGCCCGATACGTTTCGCTTTCGGGCCATCTTCAGGTGATTTTTCGATTAAACTTATATTTGCCCCAGACGACGTGGGGACGCTTTTGCAGAGTGCGATTCAAGCATGAATTTCTCCAAAACCCCTAAAGGCGCCTGATAGAAGAAAATAGACCAAAGACGATCGTATGCATCCAAAAAGTTTCGTTTTTGAATCATCCTCAGGAAGAGTCCAAAAACCTGTTGGGTTTACACCGGACTACTTAAAACCGCGCTTGGAGAGCAGGATTCAAAAGCTGTTTGCTGGAAAACCCCAAAACCTACAAACTTAAGCAGGGACGGCACAAATTGAACAAAGCATATTCTATAAGCGGTACGTTTCGTTTTGAAGCCATCTTCAAGGAACATTGGAAAACTCTGAAACGAAACACGCCTGGACGTTTTTGATGTCACCGAAAAAGCCCCTGTGAAAATGTCCGGAAAAACCCGGGAAAATTTCGGATTTTTTTCGCTTAATGGCGCTCTACTTACGGGCAGTTGAATCGTTTTGACATTTCTGATAAATGAGTTCATCACAGCGAATTTTGTCACATGAAACGCGAACACAAAAATTGACGAAAAGTCTGACAGAGTGATTTTGATTGTTTCGGCCACAAGTCGATCCCGATTTGACACCGTTTTACCGGCCGAAACGTGCAAAATTTCTGTCAGAGTGCCAGAGACATTTTTCCGGTCATTTAGGTTCAAAATTTCCGTGCCATGTACTTTCTAGCGAAAAACATACGAAACTGTTCAGTAAGTGATGGGAAGACTGCAGCTGTGCGCCCTTTTTTTTACGGGCGACTTTTTGCTTGTAGAGATCATTCCGCAGCTCACCCGATAAGGCCAAATTGTACCAGAATGGTATTCTGAACTGGGAATACCTTGCCAAGAAGTTGTCGTACTTTGTCACCCATCCGGAACAGATTAAGTCCAAATTGAAGGAAAAGGATGCGCACATGTTGTGCCAGTTTTTCGATTCCGACGAATACAAAAGTCGAGTTAGTCAGTTTTTGGAGATGCAAGAGAAAATCTTGTCCAAGGACACTATTAGTGGTAAATGCCAAGTTTCCCCTTTTCAGCGGAACTTTAGGAAACGTTCACCGAATCAGATAAACCGAGCAGTTCAGTAACAAGCCCGAATTCAAAAATTTGCCAAAATTGCGCAAATTGACTGCATTATGCACCAAAGAGAAAGAAAGTCCTGCGTTTTTAGCGGTTTTTGATAAATGGATGTTTTAAGCGGGGCTGAATGCCCCAGTCGCAATCGCAAAGTTTGAAAAATTGTGGAAATCTTCTCGAAAGTTCTATCAAAGTGACAATTTTGGGAAAAGTTAACACTAGTGTTCCTCATAGCCCAAAAAAAAGCCTGCAATTTGAGCAGTTTTCGCAAAATTGATTTTTCAAGGTAGTTTTGCAGCTCGATTAGACAACCCGCTTTTGAAAAATTGCCCCAAGTAGCTCAAACAAGGCCTGAAAGTGAAACTTTTATCCAAAAAAGTGCGCTTCTGAAAGCGCACTTTTTTGGTTAAATCTCACATTTTGAGCGGTTTTTTAACAATTTT